CATAAATAAAAGACAAACTTGCTGTGGAAGCTAGCGTTGAAACTATTCGCAGACGTCTTCGAGATGCAAATTTGGCGGCGCGAAGCCCACGAAAAGTGCCGTTGTTGAAGAAAATACATGTAGATAAGCGGCAAAAAATCCTACAAGTAACAGCACATTGTGGGATGTTGTTAAGGATGCATGGGAGTCAATTCCTGTTGAAAGGTGCCAAAATTTGGTGAACTCCATGCCTCGACGCTGTGCCGCTGTAATTGCGAATAAAGGGTTTGCCACTAAATACTGACTTAAATGCCTAACTTTTGAAATTAAATAGCCGACATATTATTTGTTTTAGTTATTAATATCCATTAAATCCATAACACTACTATTATTTTGACCGACTATATTTGAATTAATTTAAATATTTTTAAGTTTATATAGTAAACTTGAATTAAATTTATGTTTTTCTTGTATTTTAACTTTAAGTTATAAAACTAACGATGTTAAAAAAATAAAATTTCAAAACATTCATAACTATTTGAAGCCCTTTTTACTTATTTAACATTGTTGCAATACCCACTACTATTATTTTGACCGCAGCTGTATATTCATCCGATTTTATGAAAATGGTGCACCAAACACTCAAGGTTTGTGCGATTGAGACCACTTTTGAAATTGGTTCTGATTTAGATATGCTCCCACATATAGATTCATCTGATTTTATTTAAATGGTTTGTTCGATTGGGGCAATATTTTGCACATCATACTGGGTTAAGTCCAGTTTGATGTCTGTTAAGTTTTGTTGAAATCTGTTCAGATTTACATATAACTCCCATACATAATTTTGTCGGATTTCATAGAAAATTGTTTCATAGATTTCAGAATGGTATGTGCATGGTTTTTTTTTATTGGTTCGAATATCGAAGATCATAATTTTTATCACCCGATTCCATTTTCAGTGGTCTTCCAAAAATGCAATGTCTCTTCTATCAACAGGATATTGCACACATTATCATTCTTGTATGTGTCCAAAGTGGTGAAGGGTATCATATAGTCGGCTTCGTCCGATTTTTGATATTTCTTTACTAGATTTCAGCTTCAGAAAACCTTATAAAATCTATAAAAATGGAATTTGGCTGGAATTTTTTTTTCAAAGTTTGACTGCCCTATAGAGCCGTATTTATTTTTTGAAAAATATTTTTTTTTTGGTTTTAAATGTTGTATGTCAGTTACGTCTTTATGCCCTTCAACACTCTGTGGTACAGGGTATTATGTCTTTGTGCATAAGATTGTAACAGGCAAAAGGAATCGATATAGACCCATGGTTCCTTTTGAGAATATGTATAGAATCACTTTCTGAGCCGATTTATGCATTTTCGTCCATCTGTTGATGTTAAATTGTAAGCAAAGTATTTATACTCCGATTTGGATGAAATTTGACGCAGCTCACATATTTGGTCTAAGGACGAACTCTATTGAAATTCGTGAAAATCGGTTCAGATTTAGATATAGCTCCCATATATAGTTTCGTCCTATTTTAGGTAAATGGTGCACCAAAGTTCCTGAAAATCATTCGATTTGCACGAATTTTGGCATAGCGTGCTTAATTAAGTCTAGAATGATGTGTGCTATGTTTCGTGAAAAACGGTTCAGATTTAGATATAGCTCCCATATACATTTTAGACCGATTTTATGTAAATAGTGTACTAAAGTCCCTATATATCTTTCGATTTGCAGGAATCTCGGGGTAGCGTACTGAATTAAGTCTAGAATGATGTGTGCTAAGTTTCAACAAATCTTAAGGATGCTTGTTTAAAGATAATCAGCTAAAATTTCCAAAAAAAATATACAATAAAGACAAATAATACCGATTTAAAATGATTCTTAATTTGCTCACACAAATTCATATAAATGTTTTTTGTTTTACTTTTTAGCAATAATGAAGATATAAAACAACACACACACACAAATTTATATACAAAGTTATGAATAACAACAACAATAATAATACGAAAGCAAGTCGTTCATTTCACGAACTATTGCAGATATTTTCAAATGCTGGTGGTGGTAATGGTGGTTCTGGCGACGGAGGTATTCTGAAATTCTAATTCCAATTCTTTGATTGTGACATTCGAAGTATATTTAGGCTTTTGAAGTATTTTGGTTTCATTCTTCTTCTTCTTGTTCTCCACTGATTATCGTTGTTAATGTAATTTGTCCAATACTGTTTTGTTTATCGCTAAAAAACAAAAATTATATACGATTACTGATATCACTTTATTAGTTGAGTATTTGTTGTAATGTGTTGTTATTATATTATTCAATACCATTGTCATTTCGTTGTATTTCATAAACATTCAATCAATGTCATATCGCAAGACACACATATTGTTAAATATCATAAATTTATCATCACCATACAAATATACGTATATATGTATATAGAAAAGACACACAATGTAAATTTATATACCCCAGGGTCATGAAATAAAATATACAGTCGAAAACGCTTATAACGACGGTCAAGGAAACGGCGAAATTGGTCTCTAAAAACTATAGTAAACAAAGCAGAACTATTTTCGGGATATTTGGAATTTTTGAAAACTTTGGCAGATATATTGCATGTGAAGCGACTTCAGAGTAAGAGACATAGATACTCTATCCTTACAGATATTCCCCCATAAATTGCAGCGTATATTAAATTTCCATTTGTTTTTCCAACCCCTCCGTAATATTCGATACCACTGCCCATTTTCGTTACTTTGATCGTTTTGTTCGCAACTCCAAACCGAATGGATTATTTTGTGTCTTTGAAATACATCTTTGCAAAAAAATTTCAATATAAGTTCAAAATTTTAATATAGCCATGTTTTAATATAGGTCCCATCCCGTTATAAGCATTTTGAGAATTCCATCATGTAGCTCATCTCGAAATTAATAAAAACATTTACCAGAATGATTCTTCGCCCTAAAAAGGCATAAAACTCAAAAATTCAGCTGAGCCCGGCTGGGATTTGAACCCTGTGGGTCGATTCACTATAAAATTTAAACAATTCTCATCGATAAAATATTATAACGACAAAATAAACAATATTTCAATTCTATAACAGTTTTTAACAACAATTGTTAAAATTCTGCAATTCGGTTTGAAAACTATTTTTTTTTTATATTTGTCCCAATTTATATTAGGCGAGTTTAATTGCGGCAAGTCTTTGTTTGAAGGAGAGAGGGGCAAGGGGAATAGAAATTGGAAAAAAATGCTCGTACCGGCAATTTTCTTTCAATTTGTTTTGTGTATTTTGTTTGTAGTGTCAGTAATTTGAAATACCAATCCAGAACATTGTCACAAAATGTAAAAAAAATATTTTTTTTAAAATCGACTTGCCTTGTATAGACGAATGAAGCAAGTTCAAAGGAGAACGATAAAAATTGCCGCAAGTAAACTCGCCTAATATAAATCAGGACTTTGTGCCTGTTTTTTTATGTTCGAAAATGTTCTGGATTGGTATTTCAAATTACTGACAATACAAACAAAATACACAAAACGAATTGTCAGAAAATTGTTTTCAAAATGTTCAAAATTAAAAGCTTTTCGAAAGTTTATCGACAATTTGTCTACATTTTTACAGACTAACATTTTCGGTACTGCAAACGATTTTATGTGTAGACAAAATTGTCGGATCGTTATAAGTTACTGAATCGACCTACTGGTTCCTATGGCATCTGTTGATTGTTGTCCGGCGCCTTAGCGTTCAAAGCCACCCCTTACCATCCTAAGGTTGCACAATATGTAGTTGTATACCATTGAAGAAAAAATATTGTAGTCTGTATGGAAAAAATAGTCCGTCCGTCACTACAAGAAAAATCTGCTCTGAAAAGGAATGTTCTGTGTGATGCCAAATGTCCGAATCTTGACACGGTTGAATTTAATTCGTATATGCAATTTCGCAACAATATTCGACATAAATATTGCCTAATACGCCTGATGAGCCGCTTAACCAACGGCGAAACGCGTCGCATAATGGTGGGAATGTAGTATCTCTCTGGCTTTCCTTTTCATTGCAACTCCGATCATGTAGCTCGTCTCGAAAGAGAAATTAATAAAAACATTTACAGAGTCTTTTGACTGCAGGCTGGTCAAGTTCGAAGATGACCTACATCAGTCCACGTTTAGGCATAGCTCCCATATAAGGTTATTCCCCCATTTTCGGTAGTTTAAGGTCATTGAGCGGTAGTTTAAGGGTCTTTCTCTGAAATTTGGTAAATTAGGTTCTTATTGGGTATCAAATTTCTCCACTAAAACTTATAAATGTAGGTCCACTTTTTCTGGTAGCCCTCATATAACGCTACCCCACAACTTTTCAGTATTTTGGCGGCTTTGATCGCATTTTTCAACCGAATTGGCTGAAATTTAGTACTTTGAGGTCTTATTGGGTAGCAAATCTTTCCACTAAAAATTTTAAATATAGGTTCATTTTTTTCTGGTAGCACCCATATGTTTGGAATCTTTAGCGCGTATTTCAACCGAATTCGCTGCAATTTGGTATTTTGTAGTCGTGTATGGTAACAAATCTCCCTTGCATTTTTTAGTAGTTATTATCATTGTCATTGTCAAATGTCATTATCTCAGCCAAATTATGATATATTCCATCATCAATTTGTGTGTGTATGTTTGTTTGTAGCTCATCGGTCATTAGAACCTCGCCACATGTAAAGTTTGGATCTGCCAAGAGAGTACATGTGCAAAAAAACTACTTATAATTTAGATCATAATCTACAACTGGTGTTCCCTTGTCATTTGTTCCTATATAACTATACATAAATATATATATATATATATATATATTTTTAAATCCTGTAAATTTACATTTTAATTTCACTTCTAAAAATTATATCTCTTTTTTAATTCTTTTAGGTTTAAATGCAAACCAAAATGAAAATATAAATACCACATTGGGTAGTCCAACCGCCACAAATGCTCCCGAATCTCCGACAGCCAGCAGTCCTATTATAGCTGGTGGATGTACGGCGGCTGGTGTTGGTGGATCAGGAGTTGCAACTATTTCCTCAGCTCCTGCTGCTGCTGCAGTATACGATGATACCCAATCTGTGAGTACCACCACGACCACCTTGCCAACCGACAACAATGAAGTATGCGTAACACCACCGCAACGACATTCGCTTAACTCCAATGAGTATCAAACATCGACACCAAAATCCTCAACTCGCAACTCATCGGCAGCTGCCAACAATTCGGGTGGTGTGGTTTGTTCAACATCGCCGGTAAATTGTGCCTCTGTTGGGGATACTGCAAATAATAATGCTGCAAATATTCTGACAAATGAGGAAAGTCCTTTGCCGCAACAATTCATGAACGTCGAGTGCAGCACCCTAAATGAGTCACAATTGATGGCAACGGGGTTGGTGGGTGCGGGTGTGGTCGAAACAGGTGGAATTACCGCCACTGCAGCAATCAGTGGAAATACTACCAACAACAACCAAATTGTAAATACGGCTGCGCCATCGACCATGCCGCCCACACAAAACCAACAAATTCTTAATAACTATCCTGGACTGGCCAATAGCCAAAATGGCTCAAATCGTAATTATAATCCCATACTTATACCCCAACGCCAATCCTTATTGCCCTGGGGTAGCCATTCAAGATCCTCAATAATCAATATTATGCCCTACAATACCTCGACCAGCACCAATGCTTCCCAACTCGACAACAATGCGGATAACAACATGTTAAGGCCCGGCGAAATTGTTATGCGTAATCTCTTTTCCGATTTCACCCAACAGGCTGAGAAGAAAATCGAATTGGTGATGTTGGAAAGTGCCGATAAACCTCTCTCCAAGCTATTGCAACGTGGGGAAGATCAACAATTCGATCAGCTACTCTCCGCTTTGGGCAATGTGGCCGAACATTGTTTGCCATCACTACTGCACACACTCTTGGCATGGCACAGACGCCAGTTGTCCGATGCTGAAATTAAAAATGATCTCAAGCGCATGGAGAAATCGGCCAATGCAAATGCCAAACCGCTAAACTCACAAGAGCTTGACTTTCAATTGCAACGACGTGAAGCCACAGTGGAGTTTATTTTCTGTCTAGCCCTCATTGAGATTCTCAAGCAACTTCCCTTCCATCCTGGCCACGAGGATTTGGTGCGTAGCATTGAAAATTTGGCCTTTAAACATTTCAAATACAAAGAAGGCCTACAGAATAATCCCAATGCCCATAATATACACATGATTGCCGATTTGTATGCCGAGGTAATTGGTGTTTTGGCCCAATCACGCTTCAGTTCGGTGCGAAAACGTTTCATGAGTGAACTCAAGGAGTTGCGCGCCAAAGAGCCATCCCCACATACCACACAAAGTATTATAAGTTTACTGATGGGCATGAAATTCTTTAGGGTTAAGGTAAGATTTGAAATATGGAAATTCTTAAAATTGAATGAATTCACATTTCTTATATTGTTTGTGTTTTTCATTAGATGGTGCCCATTGAAGAATTCGAAGCATCATTTCAATTTATGCACGAATGTGGCCAGTACTTTTTGGAATTAAAAGATAAGGATATTAAACATGCCTTGGCCGGTTTATTTGTGGAGATTTTAGTGCCAGTTGCAGCGGTAAGTTTATCATTTAAAAATTAAAAATTAATGTTACTTTCAGTATTCTTTTACAAAAATTATCTTTTTTATTTTCTGGAAAAGGGGACCGAAAAGACCCCTTCAGAGAGTCGACAGAGGGTTAACGTATTAGACAAAAATGTACCTTACATTTATATCAGTAATATATATAAAATAATAGAGAATATTGCCACAACTTTTTAGATAATCTCCAGACGTAAACTTTCAAAATGCCGATATAGCTGTCTTTCATTTTTTGACCCTCTATCATAATTTTTTGAAATTTCCGGAATTGAATTATTTAAGGATATCTTTCTCAATTTCGAAATCGGAAAATCGCCTTCATATTCCAAATAAAGACCCAAATGTAGCAGAAATTGTTAATGTTACTATAAATCTATAAATACTTCTCAAAACAAATGAATATTTGGAATAAAAACTCAAAACTTGAGAATTCACCTTGAGGGCAATACGAATTCGAACTTTAATGAAGACCAGTATATTTTTCAGTATGTGAAGGAAGAAATGTCGGTTTATACTGACATTTATAATATGAAATCGATTGTTTAGTTAAAGAAAATATGCTTTTATTAAAGAAAATATATTAGTAGGATTTTAATGCTCAACTCAGGACCTTAAATATTTGCCAAACTATAAAATAGTTTTCTCTTCCAGGCTAAAATATTCTAAATGGACATTATTCTATCCAGAAAACATTATTGTAATTTTAAACATATTTTAAGGGCCTTAGTTGAATAGTGTATTAGGTTTGTATATCATCTCTGCCTGCTCATTCTGCTGTGACTCAAATCGTAGATCATTATACATCGATATTGTCTAACCCACCTCATTTTTTAGGCGAATTCGCAACTTTCAAGTTTGTATTTAAATTTTTTTATTTGTTTTAATAAATATTTATTCTAAAAAAGGCCTCAATCGCCTAAAAAGGGCCTTTAAAGACTGAACAAGTCCTTCCAGCGTCTAAGAAGGCCTTTTAAGTTTCCTATCGTCTGAAAATGTCCTTTAAAGACTTCTATCGTTTAAACATGCATTTAAAGTCTCCTATCGTTGTTAAAAGGCATTTAAAGACTTCTATCGTCTCAAAATGGTCTTTAAAGGCTTCTAACGTCGAAAAAATGTCTTCAAAGGCTTCTAAATGTCTTTAAGGCTTCTGTCGTCTTCAAAGGTCCTCTTAAGGCTTCTATCGTCGACAAATGGCCTTTAAGGGCTTCTATCGGTTTCTTCGATGGTTTCCAAATTTGAAATGGGGACAAATATATCCTAAAGTAGTCTACCTTAAATTATAAATTTGGTACCTATCATAAATTGTAATGTTTATGGTAAAATATAGACCTTCAGGTATATGACATTTTTTTTGTTTGAATTATTTTGTCCATATGGAATTGACACCTTTATTACTAAAACGTCCATAGAAAACAATTCGTTTAGAGAAACAGGAAATGGAAGTAGACTAAGGATTGGGTGCATCCTTTAAATTGATGTGCTAATTATAACATTTCGCCATTCCATTCCGACGAAAATGCTTTCGCACCACTTTGTTAGGTTTGTTTCTATTTTTTGTGCCCCTATATATATATATATATATATAGGGGCACAAATATATATATATTAACTAATTTTTAGAAAATGTCACTCCTAATTTCAAAGAAAAAAATAATTTATTTCTATTTTTTTCTTTCCATTTTCAGGCAGTTAAAAATGAAGTTAATGTCCCATGCGTTAAGAATTTCGTAGAATTATTGTATATGCAAACACTGGATGCTTCGACCAAGTCTAAACATCGCCTTGCCCTATTTCCGTTGGTCACCTGCCTACTGTGCGTGTCACAAAAAACCTTCTTCTTATCGAATTGGCATTATTTCCTCGCGATGTGTTTGAGTAATTTAAAGAATCGAGATGCCAAAATGAGTCGTGTCGCCTTGGAATCGTTGTATCGTCTTTTGTGGGTCTATATGATACGCATTAAATGTGAATCGAATTCTGCAACACATTCACGTCTACAAAGTATTGTGAATTCATTGTTTCCAAAGTAGGTATTCTAAAGGTCTGTTCTTGTGTTGCAAGAATCTATAACTTTTAGTACTGTAACGAATTTTCCTTATGATATCGAAGAAAATAGTAAAATATAGTAGATTCTTGCAGTACGGGAACAGACTAAAAATGTGATAACTAATAAAAAAAAACCAAACAACTAATACAATTTGAATTTTCGCAAAATTTTCAGAGGCTCAAAGGGTGTGGTACCACGTGATACTCCATTGAATATTTTTGTCAAAATTATACAATTTATTGCTCAAGAACGTTTGGATTTTGCCATGCGTGAAATTGTCTATGATCTGTTGTGTGTGGGTCGGCCAATAAAGGTGAGTTTAAAATGATTCCTCAAAAGAATCGTTAACCCATATTAACATCATATTCTCTGTTTGTTTTTGCTTTCAGTTAATCCTCAATCCGGAACGCATGAGCATTGGCCTGAGAGCTTTCCTTGTAGTTGCCGATTCGCTGCAACAAAAAGATGGCGAACCCCCAATGCCACGCACCGTACCCGTCCTACCATCCGGCAATACACTGCGTGTCAAGAAAACCTACATCAATAAAATGCTAACCGATGACACAGCTCGCAGCATTGGCATGTCGACATATTTCCCCCATGTGCGTCGTGTTTTTGTTGATATTTTACGAGCTCTTGATGTTCACTATGGACGACCTCTGATGATGACAAATACCCAGAATCAAAATAAGGAACCTGACGAAATGCTATCAGGTGAACGTAAACCTCGCATTGATCTCTTCAGGACTTGTGTGGCAGCTGTGCCACGCTTAATACCCGACACAATGACACCGCAAGAACTTGTCGACTTGCTCTCGCGTCTCACCGTACACATGGACGAAGAGCTGCGCATGTTAACGCATCAGTCGTTGCAAACATTGGTTATAGATTTTCCGGATTGGCGTCAGGATGTCGTGCACGGTTACACACAGTTTCTGGTGCGCGATGTCACCGACACTTATCCGCAACTTTTGGAGAATTGTACACGAATGTTGTTTGTATTTTTAAATATATGGCGGTGTGCCATCAATGTGAATGGTAGCAATGGCAACAATGGCATGCTGAAGACACCCACCACAGCTACAAGTTCCCTAAACACCAATCAAGGGGCGACTGGCGCAACTCAGACAGCAGCAGGTATTACTGCAACCGGTGCCAATAATATGGTGGGCAAAGATACCGCCACAAGTCAATTGTCCAGTGCCAGTAATGTCAAGAGTATAACAAATACAAATTCAAGTGCTACATCCAGTATTACCTCGAGTGGCATGTCAAGCATAACCCAGGCTACAGTTATTAACTTGGCTGAAAGTGGCAAGAAAAATGAAATTCCCCTGGCTACTACGCTGCATTTTGTTGAGGGTTATGCTTTGGTTCTGCTCTGCAATTATCGTCCATATTTGCGTAAATTAGCAGCTATGATTTTGAAAGAAGTAAAAAATCTTATGAAGGCATTGGGTATACCGGAAACTGAACCTCCGCTACTGGATGTTATTGATAAATGTTGTCCGCAGGTATGTTTATTTGTACTAAGTATTTATTTAAGAGATTATTTACTACATTATTACTACTACTTTTATAATATGTAGCATTGCAATTTATTTTTATTATTATATTAAAAATGCAGAAGATGTTCAGTTTTTTTTCTCTTACTATTCAATCCCACACATCAAGATGTCATCCGAAAATATTAAAGATTCATTTGAAAGTCACTATACATTGCCTTTCAGATGAAACTCACATCAAGCCACTTGTCACACTTGGTAATTTTAGTTCGCGATATTCTCCCAGGGATTCATTTATCATAATCTAATAATTGGATAACATCCCAACATTTTCCCATTTAGTTAAAAATTGCAATTGATACCTTCTTCGAATTGTATGTTCAAATCTGTACAACAAATTCCATGAAGATGTACATTTTGTCAAAACACACATCTACTTTCCAATCAGTGGTATTAATCCCTGCAATTATAATTACATTCATTTGAATTTGAATTCCATTTTAGGTATTGGATAAGTGTCTACCGCATCTACCTCAAACAGAAAAGACTGCTATTCTAAACGCTACACAAATTGATTTACAATGGATTGTGGAACGGTCAAGCGGTGTGTGGTTGGGTGGCCTAACCGATGGTGAGTATAATTGATTTAATAACATGCATCATTGTTCATTGTGCAACATTATTCTTATCGTATCGTTCGTTTTGCAGACAATTCTAAATCATCAACATCCACATTAAATCTCTCACAATCGAGTGGTGGTGGCGGTGTTGGCGGTTCACCGCAAACACAGCATCAATTCGATCCATGGTCGGTGTGTTTGTTTGGATTCTTGGAAAGAGATCGTATATTGCAAAAGTGTCCATCGGTAGTGGCACAGGCCTGGCCCATATGTTATGCACGTCTAACAACTCTGTACAGTGTTATTGATCCAACGTAAGTTTATGGATGTTAAGTAAGATTGTTTTGTTTTTTTTAGTTCACTGTACTCACCCACCGTGCAAAAAAAAATATTTTTTTTTCTGATAATTATGGGGAAATTACAAAAAATTGCATATTAGACGTCAATTTAGGACAAACAATTCGAAAAATATGGGCAATTTTTTCATAGAAATTTTACTGTACCTTTCTCAACGAATTGTATGAAAGCAACATGAAACCTCATTTTTGTCCATAGTGTCAAAGGATGAAATATTTTACGTCAAATTTCACAAAGTATAATATTTAAATTCATCAGTTTTTTTTAGGAATTTAGGTAGAAAATGACCAATATTGCCAAAAAATTCTTTGTTGACTTAAGTGTTTATTAAGGGAACCCCACCCATTCTCGATTTTAATTTTTCAAGATTTTCAATGGGCTGGTAAATCAATACCAATGCTTGTTAAGGTTTGTAACTTTGCACATATATATTTGAAGATTTAAAAGAGAAGAAAAATAATTTACAAAAAAATTTTGTTATTGTTTTGTTGTTGTTTTTTGTAATTAAAGAAAAGTCCTTATTTTTGATGGCGGGCATGATAACTCCTCACTGGAACATCGGAATCCGAAAATTCCAACGGTGTTAGAAAGAGTACATGTCTGGCTCTCGTATGAACTAGGATTATTGACTTCGCTCTAAAATAAACAAAATGGTGGACCTTTGAAAAAAATTTTTTGGAAAATCGCCGATTTTTTACCAAAAACCAAGTTAAAAAATAAGGAAGATCTTCACCGATTGGCTTTATCCTAGTTCATACGATAGCTATACACTCCCAGAGAAACGTTGCAAAATTTGGAACCGATTGGATTATTAGTTTTTGAGTTATCGTGCCCGCCATTCGCAAAAAAATGTTTAGAGAAAAACGCGTTTAAAGTTTGAGAAGCCCTTCAGCCGTCACTTGATGCTGACACAATAAATCGGCTATATCTTCAAGAGTTCTTGAGATTTTTACTTTAAATTTTGCAGGGACATTCTTGAATAAGTGTAGATTGGAATTAAGTCAACAAAAATTTTGACCCCCTGAATGGGGGGGGGGGGGTCCCCTTAAACACCTTGCACAAATGTGTAAAAATCTTCAATGAGACTGCGTTATAGGAGTATTTCGTCAAAGACAAAATTATATATCAAATTTTACTATTAGTTGCAAAAGAAAAGATTTTCGTAAATTCGATATTTATTTGTAAAAAATTATCTCTAAATTTGGGTATGTACAGCAAATTTTATATTTTGATGAAATTTCGCACTTTTTGTAAATAAATTGAAAAGCATCATTGTAGAATTTGCATTTTAAAGATTTTAACCGCATTTCCCCAACGAATGGGTTGTAATTTGGCATTGCGGTTTCTTGTAGGGTGAGAAACATATTTGCAGTTGATTTTTTGATGTAGGTCTGCTTTTTTACATAGTCTCCATAAAAATGTTCCGCCCAATTTTCAATAATTTCTAAGTATTAGCTGCAAAAAAAAAAAAAAACTTCTGTCCACAACGTTTTCAATATAGGTCCACATTTTTGCATAGCCCAACGTTTTAGGCCAAGTTTCCAACATCTGCGATTTTCTTAGAACATACACTATTAACTAGCTGACAATTTACAGATATCAATTTATAGTGATATTAATATTA